TTGTATAATGCCAGACGATGTCCAGTACTAGCCGATACGCCTGTGAACCCAGATTCTGAAAGGAGGCCGAATAGACAAATTCGCCTTTCTTTCGAATCCAATCAGAAAAGCCACCACGGTTGGGAATCCAGTCGCCGTCTTACTACCCAGCAACTGAAAATTCCACCACGGCATAAACTTCATCATCGAACCCGATGCTGACGAAACATTCCAATGCCAACTCCACATCACAGCGCGGACATTGGTCTCTGAAATTAGACCGATCGCTCCAGAGACGGCTCCGTGGAAATCTATAAGACGGCTACAAAGCTATGCCTGGATGGTGGAAAAGAGTTTAAATATTGGCTACGTAATAAAAGATCGAAAGAACTTATGCAGTATTATGTATCAGAAAGCGCTCAGGTAGAAAAATATCCGAGCTCATAATATATACATGGAAATCAATATGACATTATTTCTGGAACGTATTTACATCCTACAATGCTTGGAGAAGTTATTCATTGGATGTGGTTGTTAAGAACAGAAGAGAATGGAGGATACGTTTACATAGCAACAACCATGAAGTATGGAACTAGAAATGTATACAAAGTGGGCTACACTAAAGATCCTGAGAAGAGACTTAAAGAGTTCAACAATTATTATAGAAGCAACTTTGATTTGTTCTTTTACGTAGACCTAACCAGAGTTTCCAGTGTAAAGGAGTCAGAGACAGCAGTTCATCAGACTCTAGAAAGTTATCGTGTGGAGAAGGAATTGAATTGAATTCGCTAAAGGATATTGTTAGACATTTTTAAAATATGCTTAAGGTTACATCTCACCGACACTCAAATACAGCGTAGATAAAAATAAATTTATTTTATTTATTTAAATGCAGAGTTTCTAATAATAAATCGTGACTGTATATATTCGAAATAAAACCACTGTAACCTTTCTGAAATCATCTATTTAATTTGTATAGAACAACATTTCTTCGCTGTTAATAGTTACTTCTTTTCAAAATAAGAGCTGGGAATATGTTTAGATTTGTCCATATCTGTAAAAAAATCTTTAGTTGCGCATGGAATGCATTTTGTATTCGGTAGTTCCGTTTCACCACCACATTTGACACATTTGTATTTAACCGGAACAGGCATATTGCACTACAGCACTGGTTGGTATTACCTTTGAAATAAATGAAATGTAGTACAGTAATAAGAATTTATCACTTCCCCCTCCAAAATATTTACCTGTTGATTGTGTTAGAGCCATCTTGCGACGCAACGAACCAATTAACGATAAAAATGGATAAAAGCAACTCAAATTACTTTAAATATAAATGAAATTATAAATTCTTTTTGTGATGTATCTAATGATTGTATATTAAGTAATGCCCTTCGTGAATATCTTTACTTTTATCAAACTAATGTACTGTCTGAGTAGTAGGTAATAAATATATTCTATTTTATTTTTTCCTCTATTCCAGTTTCAATAATATAATAGAAATTTAACTTTAGTAAAATTACACAAATATACTCTTGTTCACAGTTAAAACAAATAAGACACATATATAAAATAAAAAGTTTATTTCATTTATAATGTATTAAATATATTACAGTTAATTACAACATACTATTTTTTTATTATTATTAGAAACAACACACCATATATAAAAAATGTGGAGCACTTACAATTTTTTAATCCTTCTATGCAGGTCCTGGTTGTCGATGTTCTTCTGACAGCTCCACTATTTCGAAATTTATGACTGGGTTCGGCTGGTTGTACTGCACTAGACCCTTAAACACTAATCCGTACTTCCTAGGCACAAAATGTTCCAAATTTGCCTCGATTGCCGGCAAAGACCTCCTTGGTAAAAATACTGCGTTCTCACCCAAGTCGACAAGAACCGTCTTCCCAAACCGGGTGTTAACTATTTTTATCCCACAAATCGGTATGGGCTGGTCCACAGGAAGATCCTGTAGATTAATTACTGGATTCCTGCGGATGTAGGAAACCTCATTAATTTGACTTAGATTCATGCTACAACAATAGAAAAATCAGGTGTAAAAGAGCGAAAAAATAAATAAATAAATAAATAAATAAATAAATAAATAAATAAATAAAAAAAAAAGGATGTGTTTAGTAAATAATTGACTATGTCAAAAACAAATAACTTACTTGTATTTTGTAAAGGGACACTTGAGATAATTACTTGAACAAGCTGTTGCTGTAGACGGTGTAAGGACACAAACACATATAAACTACTGAAGAACTAGCTGGAGACTAATTGCTTCTGCAAGCTATCGATGTAGACTGGTAAATGATAACTTTATTTCACTGTGTATATATATCATCAGTTTGACCGTGACTCTTATTTCATCCGGCCAACGTTCGTTATTCTTATCGCATGCTGTCTAGACGTTACGTGGCCACAATATTTGCTACCACTACAGTTATAAAGGAAATAATATATCAGGTTACAGTTTATACTAAAAAGCAAGTCTGAACCTGTAGAAAACAGGTCTGAACCAGTAGAGAGCAAGTCTTAAATTGAGGTGAAGAGGACATGACCTTGACGTGACCTTGTCACCAGACGACCAGATGTCATGACCTTGACATTACCTTGACGTGACCTTGGCCTCAGACGACCAGCTGTGGACGACCTTGACCCCAGACGACCATAGGTCGATGACATTGACGTGACCTTGCCCCAGCCGGCCAGAGGTCATGACATTGACGTGACCTTGTCCCCAGACGACCAGAGGTCATGGCCTTGACGTGACCTTGACCCCAGACGACCTGTTGCCGATGACCTTGACGTGACCTTGGTCACGCAATACCGGATGATGCAATGCTGTTTGGAAGTCATTGGCCTCGAATGATGCAATACCAGATAAGAATGACGCAATGCTGTTAAAGGAAATAATATATCAGGTTAAAGTTTATGCTAAAAAACAGGTCTAAACCAGTAGAAAATAAGTCTGGACCTGTAGAAACTTGACCTCGAATGATGCAATACCAGATAAGAATGATGCAATACTGTTTGGAGGTCATTAACCTCGAATGATGCAATATCGGATAAGAATGACGCAATGCTGTTAAAGGAAATAATATATCAGATTACAGATTATGCTAGCGTGGCAGTATTAAAGGAAATAGACTATCAAGTTGCAATTTTTGTTAACACTGTAAAATGTAAAAACTGTATAAAGGAAATAAAATATTAGTTTACAATGATAAGAAACATAATAGCTGGATCGAGAACACCAACGTTATTTAGTCTGAGTTATTTCATCGAACGAGCAGGTTATATGTAAAATGAGTGAAGTTTCCACTAATTTAAGTGATGAAGAAAATTACGATTATAGTAAGCCTCTCGATGATTTTCTGGCTAAATATGAAGAACACGCACGGTGGGAGCAGATATACTTGCTTAATAATGTTTTTCCACTAATATCAAATGTCAACATTAAAATACAGTGTGGATTAAGCCCAGCTAGATCCTTCAGTCCTGCAATAATTATAAGGAATGGTAATGGCAATAAATTATCATTTTCTACCTACGAATGGCAAACTCTCTTGGAGCTACTGGAACGTTTGAAAAAAGATTTCTTCCAAACACCCCTGCAAGGCTGGACTGGTGAGTATAAACCTCTGACTCATCGTTGTGGAGATTACACAACAGTCACCCAAGTAGTCTATGAAAATATGAAAATGGTGCAGTTCATAAAATACAACATGTGCATCGATCTTTTCCTTCAAGGCTAAAAAAATTTCTCTAAATATAAGCGAAATTATAAGTTCTTTTTGTGATGTATCTAATGATAGCATATTAAGTAATGCCCTTCGTGAATATCTTTACTTTTATCAAACTAATGTACTGTCTGATATAAGTAATAAATTAAAATGTTAAGTAACATTTTTATTTTTTGATAACCTTGGTAACTTCCTGCATTCCAAAAGGCTAATAACAACTTACACTAGTCATATCAGGTTACAGTTTATGTTAAAAAACAGATCTGGTGCAGGAAAAAACAGATCTGAACCAGCAGAAAACAGGTTAGAACCTGTAGAAAACAAGTCTGAACCAGTAGAAAATAGGTCTGAACCAGTAGAAAACAGGTCTGAACCTGTAGCAAACAGGACTGAACTTGTAGAAACTTGACTTCGACCTTATCGCATGCTGTCAATACCAGATAAGAATGACGCAATGCTGTTTGAAGGTCATTGACCTCCCCTTATCGGGATTGAATTTGAAATTTACCACCAACTGGCCATGTGACGTCACTTCCATGCCGCCATGTCACTTCTTGTATGACGTCACTTCCATGCCGCCATGACACTTCTTGCATGCCAACACCCACGCATCTCTTGCACAACGACAATGCCTACAAGAAGCCGTTGAAGGAGCAATGGACACTGACCATGTGACTTTGACCCCAGGTGACCTTGACCCTAGGCGACCTTGACAAGACCTTGACCCCAGGTGACCTTGACATGACCTTGACCCCAGGTGACCCTGGCCCTAGGCGACCTTGACCCCCAGGCGACTTGACCCTAGGTGACCTTGACCTCAGGTGACCTTGACATGACCTTGACCCCAGGTGACCTTGCCACGTCACTTCCTGGTCCAGAACCGGCCTATTATATCTACTACGTCAAAGGATCCTGTTCGGTACCAGAACGGGCCCTTAAATTATCCAATGAAATGGAAGCATCAAGTCCACCAATATTCCCAGGATGACATCTACTCTCCCTTGGTCCCGAAGATCTACGAACTGGGGAGACAACATCATCAAACCGAACGTGTGGTTCCGTGACTGCACCAGTACCATCCTTCGAAGGAACTACTGGACAAATATTATCCAAACCAGACCGGGATGGTATGTCCTACTCGAATGCGGGGGTTGCTGTTGTACCATATCATTCGACAGTAACTCTTCTCTTCGACAATGTGACCCTTCATTCCTAAAGTCAGAGACATCAACCAAGTCATACGAAACTCCTGCAACTACATTTGGAGGTTAGACTATCTCTGGTATAAGACAAATGTCCTGATCCAACAGTGAACGTTGCGGAATTTTCCCTATAGTTGAAGCACCTCCTTGCACTTCAGCTTGACTAGTAGATAACCCTTCATAAACCAAGTTGAGATTATCTATAAGTTGAGCACATCGTGCCTGCAGATCAGACCTTACCTTCATCTGAGGTTCGTCCTGACTAGAAACTCTAGCCAATCTCGAAGAGACGTGCAACAGACGAGAATAAATTCGCTTGAAGTCTTTTTGCCTATTATTATGATTAAAGTTAACAATAGCTAAATTTAATTCTTCGATTTTCCGTGAACAGATCATAAATTCATTTTCAGCGTCCAAATATACAATTTGAGGCGCCGCAGCAAGATTTAATCTCTCCTTTCTAAAAACTTCCCTCAGAATACTTCGTCTTGCCTCAACAGTATTCCCTACCGGTAAATTTCTAATACCTAACTCATAAACTAACTCGTCGCCAAGTAATCTATTGACTTCCATATTGAAAATAAAATGTAAAAATTTTATTGTAATTAGCGTCAGTTATCACAAAACCCGCCCCTCAGAAAACAAAAAAAGGGACCGATAAGTTGTATACAATCGAGTATCACCTGTATTCTTAAAAATAGTAAATTCGATTCATTATCAAAAATATTACTAACAATTCTAAACTATTCAGTCCACTTGTAGTAGTATGTAACAAAAAATATTTTCAATTTAATAGCATTAAAATAGCTTAGCAAAATTAATCAAATAAAATTACTAAGTATTTAAACCTAAATTTTTACCTAAATTCAATTATTAAATCAAGGAAAAGAAATTCGATTAAATTGTAAATTTATTATAAATATTACATTTTATTTAAATTTAGTAGCCGACTGTCTCTATTACGTAATAGCTAAGTAATATCACTCAATTTAATAACCTCAATCAAGACTAATACTAAAATGTATTAAAGTAGAATTAAGCATAAGTAAACCAAAACTAAAACTAGGTATATCAAAACTGAAATTCCCAAAATGTACCAATAGCAATAATAGCTATAGAAATATTTATTGCCTACAACAATTGACTACCTATAGTGTCAAGAAAAGACCAATAAATATTTGAAATTTAATTATCTTGTAAATTCCTTAATAATTTATAATAAAAATCAATAAACTAGGAAAAAAATATATGTCTGCGTACGCGTAAGTTAATTCTAGCACCAGTTTAAAGAGAATTAAATAGTTAGCCTATAACCCCAAAATTTACTAATCACACAAATTCGACCAATCAATAAGCATTTTCACGCGAAAAAAATATAAAGTTTGTTTAACACAAAGAGGAAAAAATAAAATAAAAAGTTGGGCGCCAAGTTGCTACGTTTGTCCACTCATGGACATGGTAGCATACTAAAAAAAAAAACAAAAAAGGGGCGAGACTGCTAGTTATATAATATAGCCTTTTTATTTGTGACTGATCGGTTGCAAAGTTAGCAGAGAGTCAGGCAGCTCAGTGAGACGGGCGTGGAGGTGCAGTCTCTATCTATGCTGGTGCATCAAGGCTACGATAACTAAACGAAAATTATAAAATAACGAAAGAGTATAGTAACTTTAAGATTTATTGTAATGAAAAGCAAAAAAAAATTCAATTAACTATGCTACGTTTGCCCACTCATGGACATGGTAGCATACTAAAAAACAAACAGGGGCGAGACTGCTAGTTATATATAGCCTTTTTCTTTGTGATTGTCTATGGTCGTCCATTCTGGGACCGACTTACATAATACATCGTGGAGCTAGCAGCCCCAATAATTTGAAAACACCCAGTTAGAACATCGTAGATCGCGGAAACGAAGCACCAGCCGCAACCCCAAAATTAGCACGTGGTCACTCCGTAGAGGACTGCTTATCACCCAGGATCCTTATACCACCGGACGATAACGTCATATTTATAATTTATATTATTTTACGTTACCCGTTAGTTGTTCCAAGATTTACCCGGCGGAGCCACGCCCTTAAATGGTTTAACATTTTATTGAAAGAAGCCCTCAAATAATTTATTGCCATTTAATATTACTTTATATTTAACGTTTATACGCCTGTAAACCTCATAGTATATACTACGGGGGGCCTTTTTATTCCTCATATTAATTGTACCAAAATATATACCATTGGTTTGTAACACAAACGGGGACGTACTGGTACGATTCTGTAACCGTTTTGGGTCTAGTGCCACCCCCTATTGCCTATTCTTATTATGATCATAGCTTGACCAATCAAAGCAGTTATTAGTCATAGTTAATTGAATTTTTTTTTTGATTGGTCAAACTATGATTATAATAAGAATAGGCAATAGGGGGTGGCACTAGACCCAAAACGGTTACAGAATCGTACCAGTACGTCCCCGTTTGTGTTACAAACCAATGGTATATATTTTGGTACAATTGATATGAGGAATAAAAAGGCCCCCCGTAGTATATACTATGAGGTTTACAAGCGTATAAACGTTAAATATAAAGTAATGTTAAATGGCAATAAATTATTTGAGGGCTTCTTTCAATAAAATGTTAAACCATTTAAGGGCGTGGCTCCGCCGGGTGAATCTTGGAACGACTAACGGGTAACGTAAAATGATATAAATTATAAATATGACCTTATCGTCCGGTGGTATAAGGATCCTGGGTGATAAGTAGTCCTCCACGGAGTGACCACGTGCTAATTTTGGGGTTGCGGCTGGTGTTTCGTTTCCTCGATCTCCGATGTTCTAACTGGGTGTTATCAAATTATTGGGGCTGCTAGCTCCACGATGTATTATGTAAGTCGGTCCCAGAATGGACGACCATAGACAATCACAAAGAAAAAGGCCTAGAAATGAACGGAGTTATTGCGGGCAATAAAGGCAGTGAGGGTGAATAGATTCACCTCCTCAAATTTATATAAACGGCTCTCATTAAAACCAAAATGTGACAATTCGCTTTACCTGAGATGTTGTGCGGCCTTTCTTATAAGTCCTGTTGCACTTCACACCAAAAATCCAGACACTAATCTGCGTTCTAGCTACAACAACAATAACCAGTGGTCGCAGTGCAACGGATTATTTAATTAATTAACTGGGTTAGATCCGCAATTTTGCGTTTTGACTGCTTTCTTTCAAGCCTAAATACCAAGTCCGTCTTTAATTTTATTTCAAGCCGCAAAAACTTATCGTCTTTTTGCCCATACTCGGCGGTGATAGAATTATAAAGCCGTTCATTTCTAGCTGGAGCGAAATTATTGAGATAATAATATTTATTGATCTTTTTCTTTCTTATTATCAATGAAGTAATGTTAAGTATAAATAATTATAATTGAAATAGTTATGTAGCTATTTTGTGGAACCGAATCGTCCAGATCTTGCCACAATAAAATAAATTCGGCATTTTACAGGGTGACAAAATAAACCCGTAACAGAATGAAAGATGATGCGGAACATGAGCGACTTACGTTGATTCGAAACCTTTTGTCTCTTCTTTCTTTACTAAATTGCCGAAATAAAGTGTTTTTCATTCAAGTTTTACAAACAAAATCAACGATATATTAAATATGTATCTACAAATTTTTAAAATGGGTCACGTACATACCTATGTATAGAAAGAGGCATCATTTAAATGAATGCTTTTAATCAGTAAATCTCCCTATTTAAAAATTGTGGGGGTGGGACTATGAGAATTTTCAGGGAGGATGGTTGATTTGATATCAAAATATATCTCGCTGCTTAAAAATTGCTTTTCTCCAATAAAAATGCATTGTGTCATCAAGAGGGTTTTTTTCAAGAAGAAAGCAATATCTTTAACAAAGTAATACCAATATTTTAAAATAGTAATTAAAAGTTGCCTTACCCATTATAGGACAATTAACCCATCCACCGAGTAGTCGAGAATCAATTTCCACCGTTCTTAGTTTTATTAATTCATCAGTGTTTTGCCCCGAGGAAAACGTAATTGATGATACCTTATTCTGAAAATAAAAAAAAATGGTTTATATATAGTGGATAGTTGTAATTATTAGTTGAGTTGATTGTTTAATTTACAGTATTTTGTTTAATGAGCTGCGAATTTGAAACAAATATTCCATGATTGTTTATGAAATCAACATGGGCGCGGTACTCCCGGCCTAGTGACTATGACTCCTTCTAATTGATCTTGTTGTAGGAGATCTTACTTGTGCTACGCTGACATGTACTGGGTGGTGATCAGATATGTGACATATTTCAATTTTATGCTCTTCTACTAAATTTCAGCTATGTAGTAATTTTTTATTCTTTGCATTTTTTTAACGCAGGACATTTTTATTTGAAACTAATATAAAGAAACGTCAAAATAATGATTTATTTTTGCTATTATTGCCGCTTAGTTATTTTAAGGTATTTTTTCACCCAAATAGTGCATTTTCTGAGAAATATCGAAGTTATGGGTAAATTTTATTAATGGCATCGTGTTCAGCAATGGCATCGTGTTCAGCGCCTCAAAATACTACGAAAATGATATGTTTAGACAACATTTAGGACGAAATCGGTTTTGACCCATATTTGGGCCCGTTTTCATAATAATATTGAATTTTCTGAGAAATATCAAGGTCATGGAAAAGTTTTACCAATGGAATCGTGTTTAGCATGTCAAAATACTACGAAAATGATATATTTGGACAAAATTTAGAAAAAAAAAATCAATTTTGACACATATTTGGGCCAGTTTTCACCCAAATACTGGATTTCTGGGAAATATCGAGATCATGGATAAATTTTACTAATGGCATCGTGTGCAGCGCCTCAAAATACTGCGAAAAAATATATTTAGACAAAATGTAGAACAAAATCAATTTTGACCCATATTTGGACCAAATAGTGGATTTTCTGAGTAATAGAGGTCATGGGTAAATTTGACTAATGGCATCATGTGCATCGCCTCAAAATACTACGATGGACAAAATTTGGGAAAAAAATTTAGACCCATATTTACGCGTTTTCACCTAAAAATTTGCTTTTCTTCAAAATTCATCAGCAAGTAATGAATTTTGACTATATGTTCATCGCATCGAATTCGTTTAGAAATGATATGTGGGTCTCTTGAGTTTGGACTTTTTTGTGTGCCTGTATAATTAGTGTGATATTTTTTAATAGTATATACTAATGTTTCCATAAATGAGCTTCGAACATATCGGAAATAAGGAAAGTTTTATTCCTATTATTATTGTTGTAGACCACGGCGGTCATCATTTTATTTTATTTTAATCTAATTTTCCACTTACTTTTGTGTTGCCGCCAATTAAATTTGTTTTGTCTTTATTCTTTAGATCTACTGCAGAATACCAATGTAATATTTACTGATAAACAAATTTAATGTTTTTAAAATGAAACATTTTTAGTATTTTTCTTACATAAATACTGTCCTGACAACTACTTTTATACAAACTTACAACTATATTCTCAAACTCCTTTCTTTTATTGAGAATTTTAATTTTTTTTCTATGTTGTCAATAAAAATTTTTTCACTTTATTCTTTTAGATTTGCTGCAGAATATCAAATGTACTTACTGAAAAGACATTTTAATCTTTCTACTATGAAAATCATCATTATTATATGTTATATTGAGTACTCTTACAAATTCTGATATTAAAAGTGTTGTGGTGTCTAAATTTTTGTTGTCTCTGAAGAAGCTTATCCAATTAATATCCTTTTTTATTTATAAAATAAGTAACTTTTTATTGTAACTGTCGCTCGTTTTCACTTTTTTATTTTAATTTGTATTTAAAATAAATTTTCTTATTGTTTTATTTTGCCATTGCATGAATTGTCTTATTAAATTCATGTGCATGTTATTTGTTTATTAAATTTGGCTTTCTATGTATCTTCCAATGATATCGCTGATATGTATGGAAACAGTCGATTATTTTCTAAAGTAAAATAGAAATAGATCAGTCAAAAAGTCATGATAGAACAAAGTTGCTTTTTCTTTAATGGAATGCCCTGTATATTATTCCATATTTTAATTCTTCTCGAAATTTTAAAGAATATTCATATAGTACATCATGTACATAGGGTTTACCATTTTCGAGATATCGAACTTTGAAAATCATTGTGTTATAAATTATACAAAAATATTTTAGTCCATTATGTTTATCATCCAGTTACCATTGAAAGTTTCTAACTCCATAACAACGTCCCGTTCTTCTTTTATCTAATAGTGATTGTCTTGATAATACATGTAAAAAATTTAGTGTGAATAATTTCCCGCAAAAATGGCACGTTTTAGTGAAACCGAGCGTATTGAAGTTTTAATGATCATATGTAGGATATAGTGATAGAAGACGAAGTTGTGACGAAGCAGTAGATATTTTTCATGATTGCATCCTGATCGTCAACCGTTTCAAAAACATTGCAGCGTTTTCATGAAACTGGAGGTGTTACAGAAAATTCTTTGAATGTCATGTTAGATGTGGTGGAAATAAATTCGACACAACATAAGTCGATATTCCATTCAAAAAATTTGCAAACGGGAAAAATTACATTAATATAAAACTCATTTGTTACAAGTATTGTGTAAAGACGATTATGATCGTAGAATAGAGTTTTGGAAGTTAATATGGATAAATTAAACGAAAATGTCAACTATGTCACCCACATATTCTTTTCTGACGAATCTACATTTTGTTTAAACGGGCACGTAAACCGACACTAATGTAGATATTGATCAGACCAAAATCCACATTGGATGGAGGAAGTTCCCACCCAACGATCACAGAAAGTAAATGTTTGGTATGACATTATTGGTGGACACATCATAGGACCCTATTTTATAAACGGAAATTTGACCTCTGAACGATATCTATTACATACTTATGGAAGATCATATTCCCGAGCGTAGATTATTCTCGAACAATAAACATCCCAATATATCGGCAGAACAAATATGGTTTCAACATTTTGGACGTGTGGTACTGGCCCTGAACTATTATGCTTTTTTATTTCCTGTAAAAAATACTAATTATAAAATTCAATCATATCTACATCCTTCGGCTTGTGTTATTTTCAAAATAAATATCCATTTGGTGCCTTTTTTCTTTTATGAACTTGAGAGTAGGTGGTAAAAACTTACTTTCAAAGTTCGATATCTGATGTGCTATTCGAATTTTGTTTAGAATTTCGAGAAAAATTGAAATGTGGAATAATATACTGGGTGTTCCATTAAAGAAAAAGCAACTTTGTTTCATCATGACTTTTTGACTGAACCTGTATACTTAATTTTTCTTTATTGTAATAGATTTTTAAAAAACCTTAAAATGTTTGTGTCTTATGATTTTTCGATAGCTATCTCACTATAGGAGATAATTGACTGTTTCCATACATATCAGCGACCCTGTATACAGTGTGTCACCTAACAAACATTACATACTTGAAGGGAATAATCTAGAACCCAAATGGTGTCGATTTAACTACACTTACTTAAACGGAAAATGTCGCAAGAAAAGTTACAGGGTGTTAAAGTTTCTTTTTTTATTTCTTGTTTTCTCCTTAACTGAGAAACCATTTAATCGATTTGAGCAAAATTTCTTGTTGCTTAGTTTCTCTTCATGCAGTGATTATGTTCCTATTAGGTTAGATCATACAGGGCGTTCATTTTACTACAACCCTTTGTGAATATTCTTCTGTAACTTTTTTGTATAATCAAATTTTTACATGCAACTATCAGGAATAGGTAGAGAAATTTTATTCTACACAAAAAATGTATACCTATCAAAAGTCGAAATTATGCTCGGTTATGAAGATATTACAAAAAATATTTATTAACACATACCTACCCCATATAAGTCACTGTCAAGTATGTATTTTGCAAAAGTTCTTTCTGAAAATGCCTCGTCACTGAATTTACGAATTATGAAATGAGAGACAAGATGTATATGTACAGGAACATTTTAGAGGACGCGGTGCTAAGAGAACATATGAAGAACTTTATCCGAATCGCAGACAGCCTTCTTATGCATTGCTTGCTTTTTTATTCACCAGATTAGGAGAAACTGGAAACTTTCGGTCTAATTCACGAAATGGAAGGTACATTCAAAGAAGGGTACAAGACGAATAAAGAGTAGAAGAAAATCCCGAAATTATTATTCGTCCTTTGTCAACAGTTACAGGAGTTGGCCGCAAAACCGATTCAACTATATTCCACACGCAGCAGTTAGAATATTTCCATTTTCACCCTGTACAAAATTTAATTGAACCAGACCGCCCGTTGAGATCAACATTTTGTAAACGACTTCTCCAGTAACATAACAGGGATCACACTTTTCTCAGGAGAATTACCTTTACATATGAAGCTGTCCACAGGCAATAAAAGAGCATCACTTCCAACACGAATTTTCAGTTAACGTCTGGTGCGGGATTATAGAAAATTCTCTCTATCAATCTACCTGCAAGGTTGAATGGCCAAAATTATTTGGAATTCCTTCGGCAAGAACTTCCTGGGGCTCTCGAAGGAGTACCTATTAATACTAGACGACAAAGGTGGTTCATGCACGATGGCGCTCCTGTTCATTACAGTCATTTTTGTGTTAATAAATACTTTCTGTAATATTTTCATAACGAAGCAAAATTTCGACTTTTGATAAGTATACATTTTTTTGTGCAGAATAAAATTCTCTAACTATTTCTGATAGTTGTATGCAAAAATTTAAACTTACAAAAATTTTACAGAAGAATATTCACAAAGGGTTGTAGTAAAATGAACACCCTGTATGATTTAACCCAATAGGAACATAATCACTGCATACTTCATGATGAGAAACTAAGCAATAGCAAATTTTGTTCAAATCGGTTCAAAACTGGGTTCTGAGTTAAAGAGAAAACAAGAAATAAAAAAGAAACTTTAATACCCTGTAACTTTTTGCGACATTTTTGTTTAAACAAGTTTGGTTAAATCGACACCATTTGGGTTCTAGATTATACCCTTGAAGTTTGTAACATTCGTGAGGTGACACCCTGTATACTTGATACATATACATATCTTAATTTACAGACAAAATACCTAAAATAGTTACACTAAAATGTAGTTTATTTTAGAATAATAATATAATTAACAAATTTTCTCCAAGGAGAGTATCTACTTATAGTCCAGGAGAATTACACATTGACATGGCTGTTGCTTGACGTAACTTAGATATTAGTAAAAATCGGTCGAAAATAATATATACAATGAAAATATAAGGTTGCGCCAAGAAAAAAAGTTGTGCTATTTGCAGAAAAAATTAAAAACTGCAAAAATACTCAAAAATGACGTGTTTTTTTTAACATTTTCTAACATAACTTCTTAAATATGCAGTTTACAGAAAAAACTATTACTGGTAAAATTGTTTGTTATGAAATTTGCTATAAGATAGAATTGTTTTGATACCTGCGCATATCATATTTTTGTTGCTAAATAGCCAAAACGACGTAAGAAATTGATGAAAATCGAGGTAATTTGGAAGTGTCAAACTGACAGGCAAGAAATTGTCCAATTCTACTATAAATGTAGATGTAAGTACTTTAAACGATTATAAAACGAAATTCCAAAACCCGATCCAAATCGGTTTCATAGTATTGGTAAAAGACAATTTGTTACTAAATTTCAGCGCGAAATGTCGTTATTTTTTTACGTGAGTGCTGGGGTTAAAGTTAGACATTTTAATCTGCGCTAATTTTTTTACACTTACTTGGACCCCTTAACAATCATATAGAATCGTTAGAATATCAATTTTCTTTTTTTGAATAATTTTTGGAGCGAATTTAAAAGTTAGAAAAATTTTGACTTTATAAACAATTACTTTCGTGAAGCGGTTTTGCGGGTTGGAAAATATACCAAAGTACTAAAAAACAGTTCTCGGAAAGACGCTTAACTTGAAAAAAAGAACGTTCAAATCGGTCCTAAAAGTTCCGAGATATCGAGTGTCAAAGTCAACAAGCGTTAGCTGCAAAACTATGCATAATGTAACAACAACAAAATATAAATTTGGTAGGTTTTTTAAGAACTTTTCGTATGTGCTTTTATAAATATTATCACACGTGTGCCTTTTTTATGAAAATTCAATGAATATCGCCAAGCCGACCATTTGAGCCGCAAAACCGGGGGGAGGGGATGAATGATAGAAATTGAAATTGCGCGTTCAAAACGAGCGTGCCCTCTTCGGCGTTCAATATCTCGGCTTCTACGGCTCCGATTTTGATGATTTTTTTAAAATCAATATATCATAATGAGAGGAATTCAATTATCAAGATTTCATTAAAATATTATAAAGCCCTATCAGCCTATTACGACTACTTAAAATTTCACACATTTCATTGTTGCTGTATATTCATGTAAATAATAATATCGATAGTAGATAATACATAGTCCATTGTTAATAGTTATTAGTTTTAATAATTCGTAATAATGTTTAAAAGCTTGACATTTTTATTTAATATGTAATGTATTTATTTGATATTTATAAAACGTATATCATTGCATTATTAAAGTATTCCGTTTTTTTACAGCATAGTTGCTGTTTTCGCTCTCAAAATTTTCTTCTACAAGCTGTCATACGGTGACCGCTCAATAGAATATTTCGGAGACTACTTCGATTTGAATTTTGAAAATTTGGGACCTGGTGGTTTTGGAAGTTTTATTTAAAAAGAGTTTAAATAAAATAATGCCATTGTTGTAGTACTTCCGGTTATACCGGTAGTCGCCACCTATTTGCTTATTATAAATGGAACATCCTATATATTTTTGCATATTTGGATTCTACGCGTAATTTTAGGGGAATTTTATAAAGCTTCCCTATATTCATCTCTAATGGTCTAATGGTCTTCGACCTATTTCAATTTCATATTTATTGTCGCATTTGATTGACCGAACCGCCAAAACTTGGTTTTTCTAAATTATACACCCCGTATATTTAATCAAAATCTGTTGTAAAAATTTACTCTATATCTATCTATATTACATCTCCATATACCTATCTTTTAATTTTTCTGTTTTGACGGTTTTTGTGATAAATAAAATGATCCATTTTCTTGCGAGGATGGCTATGAAATTGCTAGCAAATTTAAAAAATCAAATTAACCAACCATAACCAACCATAAGTCATCATTTGCTGTTAATGTGACAGTGGTACCTACTTACAATTAGTTAAACACTGATTTGAAAATAATGGAAAACGGTACTTATTCAAATGCTGATATTATAACTGAAAACAGCAATGATGTTGTAAAAAAGTGAAAAACTTTAATAATACGATGATAATGAAAATATAATAAACACGTTTTATAAACATAAATAAATAATTATTTGTATCTATATCTTTTTCTATATTCTATGCATACAATAAATAAATTACATATTAAATAAAAATTTCAAGATTTTATTTAAACATTATTACCAATTATTAAAACTAATACCTTTTAACAGTGGATTATGTTCCTATATCCTACCATCGATATTACTATTTACATGAATATACAGTATAACAAATGTGAGAAATTTTAAGTAGTCGTAATAGACAGAAAAGGGCTTTATAATAATCTTGATAATTGAATTCCTCTCATTTTGCTTTATCGATTAAAAAAAAATCATCAAAATCGGAGCCATAGAAGCCGAGATATTGAACGCCGAAGCGCGCGCGCTTTTTTTTAGAACGCGCGATTTCAATTTCTATAATTCATCCCCTCCCCTCGGTTTTGCGGCACAAATGGTCGGCTTGACAATATTCATTGAATTTTCATAAAAAAGCACACGTGCGATCATATTTATAAAAACACATACGGAAAGTTCTTGAAAAAACCTACCAAATTCAATTTTTATTGTTGTTACATTATACATAGTTTTGCAGCAAGCGCTTGTTAACTTTGACACTCTATATCTCGGAACTTATAGGACCGATTTGAACGTTCTTTTTTTCAAGTTAAGCGTCTTTCCGAGAACTGTTTTTTAGTACTTTGGTATATTTTCCAACCCGCAAAACCGCTTCACGAAAGTATTTGTTTATAAAGTCAAAATTTTTCTAACTTTTAAATTCGCTCCAAAAATTATTCAAAAAAAGAAAATTGATATTCTAACGATTCTATATGATTGTTACGGGGTCTAAGTATGTGTAAAAAAATCAGCGCCAATTAAAATGCCTAACTTTAACCCCAGCACTCACGTAAAAAAATAACGACATTTCGCGCTGAAATTTAGTAACAAATTGTCTCATACCAATACTATCAGACCGATTTGGATCGGGTTTTGGAATTTCGTTTTATAATCGTTTAAAGTACTTACATCTACATTTATAGTAGAATTGGACAATTTCTTGCCTGTCAGTTTGACGCTTCCAAATTACCTCGATTTTCATCACTTTCTTACGTTGTTTTGGCTATTTAGCAACAAAAATATGATATGCGCAGGTATCAAAACAATTCTATCTTGTAGCAAATTTCATAACAAACAATTTCACCAGTAATAGTTTTTTCTGTAAACTGCATATTTAAGAAGTTATGTTGGAAAATGTTAGAAAAAACACGTCATTTTTGAGTATTTTTGCAGTTTTTATTTTTTTCTGCAAATAGCACAACTTTTTTTCTTGGCGCAACCTTATATTTTCATTGTATATATTATTTTCTACCGATTTTTACTAATATCTAAGTTACGTCAAGCAACAGCCATATCTCGAAGGTTTTGAGCTTAATTCTCTTGGACTATTATTAATCCGAATTTTTTCATAATGTAATACTTAATAAATACGGATCATTATACATTGGCTTTTTGAATAGGCAGAAATATTTTTGATTTCTTTCCAGGAAATTAATTTAAATTCATCAAATTACCAAACTTTAACCATCTCTCTACTCGGTTTCTGTGAGAGCAATGTTGCATCCAATATATAAAAAATCATAGGTATAAAGTTATTTATTTACCCCAATATCTCTACAGCTGTCGATGTGGACACAAACCAAAGTAGGACGATGACCATGAATGCAAATAATTGTTATAATTTTTGTTTTGTTCCTATCTTCGTCTCCAGATTCCCAAAATGTTTCAGTAGAGTTATCAATTAAACTTCCTACCATAGCTTGTCGACTTGAAGCTTTAATTTCTACCATAGACGTCAAATCCTTTAAACATTCAACAGATGGTACCTCCTCATGTAATATCTTTTGATAACTCTCATGCATTGTGAACGCCTCAATTTCTTCAGATCTAGACAAAATTTTACTGATATTACTAAATACTTGTGACCGATGTAAGAAAGAATGGTCAGTTGAAGTAAATCGTATTCCCCAACACCGAACTGCCATTTGTTGAAGAGCAGAACCCATAGGCAGTAATACCATAAGATCAGCAATAGTTTGTAGTAATGAGTGAAAAGTACTAGGTAATGGATGGACTGCTTCTCCGGCAATGTTTATATCAGATAGAGGATGTTCACAAACGGTCGTATCCTAAAAAGGAAAATAGTTGATTTTTTCCTTCACTATTAGATTAGAAAAAAATGTGATAGCTAAATTGTGTTACCTGATTCGTGTTTAGGAAGCCAAAATACAATTTTTTTGTGATTTTTAAGTTTATTTCACAAAAATTGAGAACTTTCAGTTATCATATTGGAGGCGCCATATTGGATTTTGCAAAGGCGCACTCAGCGTTTGAAAGTAGATGACCTAAGCTTTAACATGAGCCCTTGGTCGATTTTTTTAGTTACTTCATAGCACTGATCCCCTAAATCTTAGAGTCTCCAATATTAATGATTACAATGAACAATGAACAATGACAAACTGTTGCGTTTACGCTCCAGATAATTATGATCTTTGATTGATTGAATAGAGAATCTAGTGAAACACGAATGATCAGCCGGTGAAACAGAATGTTGTGTTTTAATCTTATTGTTATATTTACATTTAATTGCCAACGTGATGGAAACAAAATTACTGATATATTTATGTGTATGTACCTGTTCATCTTCCTTTTTCAGTGGCCTGTTATCTTCTGATTCTGTATCTATTTCGACAGGTGTAAGGGATGTAACAAACCACCACAAAAGGTCGTGAAGGCATACTGGTTGAGTAACAGAACGTAATAACCAATTCAGAGCTTCCATTGCATATACTCTACACATCGCTTTCCTAAAAAAAATTAAAAAATACATTTTGGTTGGGATATGAATTTTGAATTTGATGGTATAAATAGTTAAATTAATTACTTTCAAAAATACATATCGTGTTATGACAAAGGTTTCCAACTATTCATATGATTTTTTAATGTAGAATGCAGTGACTTCCTAGCTTATTTTTCTTAATTCCACATTTTCTGAAAAATTCCAAGTTCGTCATTCCTAATCGAACATCTTGGTTATTATATGGCATAGATTTTCTGTTTTTTTTTGTTTCTTAGAATTTTATCTATTTTAATTATCAAGTTTAACACTTATAAGAAGCTTTAGAAACTTTGATGTCCAAGATACTTCACTAGAAATAACGAACTTCTCCGAAAATATGAAATTGTAAAAGCACTGAGTACGCCGTTATGTTGCGAAAAACGGTACGGTAAAAGAGTCGTCCAAACATTTTTTTAAAATTATTTTCTATAACCAAAATATAATATCCAATAAAAATAGGTCAAAGTGTGTGAAATGAGAATTCGAACTATATATTTTTTTTGTGTTCACTGTTTATCGTGTGCTGCGCTTTATTTAGCTTAGCTTTATTTACCATTTTTTTATTCTATTTTAAAAGTATTATTGTAATTTAAAACAATTTAATTAGCTTAAAAGAAAAAATATGAAATAAAGTATGCGGTTTTTTTTAAGAAACTTTATTTGCAACTTTGTAATAAAATAACACATTGCAAACCTACATCTGATGGGCTCTTAATTGGCAATATATTTTCATCGTCGGTATTTTAAAATAGAGGTGTTACCTATTCGATTACTAGAATAATAAAGAAATTTATTACTAACCGTTTTACTTAATATCATGTTCACCTCAACAACTCAAATTTAAAGTTACACAGCAACTTACCGCCTCAAAATTAACATTAAGTTAATGCAATATGAATATATTTAATTATTATTATGCAAAACTATATTGTACTGTATAATAAATACGAATAAACATAAAAAAATATATTTTTGTCGCCACAAAGCAGAGTGGAGTTATTCGATTACTAGAATAATAAAGAAATTTATCACTAACCGTTTTTCTTAATACCATGTTCACCTCAACAACTCAAATTTAAAATTACACAGCGACTTGCCGCCTCAAAATTAACATTAAATTAATGCAATATGCATCTATTTAATTATTATTAAGCAAAACTATATTGTACTGTATAATAAATACTAAACATAAAAAAAATATTTTTGTCGCCACAGAGCAGAGTGAATGATATCGACTTTCAAAATGAGCTCATAAAAATATCGCAATTGTAACAAAAGTTAAATAATTAAGCATACTGTCGTAGAACATAAAGCGAGCTTAAAACTTCACCGATGTTTCGAAGCCAGCTATCAAAATGCTCGAAACCCATATTTCTCGTACGAATATATCTAAGGCAGACTAAAACAACACTCCTAGGTAGCTCTGCAAACCGTAAAATAATGTTGGACGAACTTTCTAAAATTCACGGATGTTTCAAAATTGTACTCGAAGCTCCCAATAGTCTACGAACGGTCTTTTACCACGCCAAAAGCCATGCAACACAACGTCTGCAGACATCCAAACGAGCGCCGCACCATCCAAATGTCATTAGACAGATATAGAATTGAAAAAATCACCGATCTTTCCGATAAATTCACCGACCTTTCCGAATTTCTACCGTCGAGCCACCAGGACGACATCGAGCGGGCCTAGCCACCCCCGCGTCATCGGACGATGACCACGTCCGACGAGACCAGGAAATTAAAAAATTTCACCCGCTTTTGAAATTTTCTATCGACACCAAAGCCCTTTCCCTCAAGACCTCCGGATCGGGTTTAAATCTGTTTAGTTTCAGATAACCTACTACTACCGAGCGACCAGACTAGGCGAAGACGCAAACGTTGCGAGCCAAAATGAAGTGTCGTTGAATCAGACCTCGCAGCAGCTGTTCTACCAGGATCCACCCTGCTGGCGATTGAATGCACGCCCGCGGCAATTGCAGTTTATCAGTCAAGGCACAAACGCTCAAGCGCTCTCAGCTCCACGCTGAACCAAGCTTCCTAAAAGCTTCAGTACCGGAACTCCAATGAGTCCGTACACAGTGAATAAATCATAGTGAACAGTGATTTTCAGAGACTAGGGCATCAGACCCAAACCAAGTGCATACAGGCGGACACAAACGCTTGAACTAATCAAACAAATAGATCATGAAATCTCCACCTGAGCTCATTGAATGCAGGACTGTACATCAAGATGGAGAGGAACGAGATGCCAGAGAACTCTCCAGTCCCCAAGCAGGCGTCTAACGCATTGGCATCCGAGGTGAAGAGAGACCCTGAACATTACGATCCTTCCCGTCGCATCATACGGGTCTAGGACCCGTTGATGATGCTTAGGTGAGAATCCGCGCCGTCCAACGTGGGACCGCCACCGTGGATAGGCAACCAACTTATCTCGTAGCTCGACCAGGCGACCAATCAGGAATCTTAATCCTGGAAGATACCGAGACCAACAGGAATCCGCGACATGGCGCCCAACGTAAGACTATGTTGCCGAACGAAACTGAGACTAGTGAAAATCCGCGACAATACCATAAAATCACTAGTTACTGAAACTCCATAAACAAGCTTCGAATCTATCTAATAGATAGATATTCGGATATTCTTAGAGTATCATATTCATTGAAAATTATATAAACAAGAGACACTTCCTAACAACATAATATAACTTTAATAAAATGTATACATAAAAATTGCTGGAAAAATCAAAAACTTTAATTGAATAATTTACGTTGGTATTTTTTAAATCAACATATTTAGGGCCTGAATAAAAAAATCGATTAATTAATACTTTCATATAAAACATACAACTTGAACGAAATACCATCGTAACTATCATTAAAACAGGGATCTCGGAAACGGTAAGAGGTACGAAGTAGCTTAAATGGAGGAAAAGTTGCGTAATCAGGGGACCAACATTATGCCTCTAAAAAATCAAGGCTAACAACAGTTTTCGAAATATTTGAAAAAAACCGAAATTTTGGAAATCCGTTTTTGTTTCATTTCAGCCTTGTTTGAGGTGATATTGAAAAAAGAAAAATACTTTCTCATGGCCACTTTTTACCCTCTATCTAATGCATAATCAATTTTTACATGTAACGTTTCGTCTCTCCAGGACCATCATCAACTTCATTTTTCTAAATACGACCCTAGAAATTTTATTACACTTTTTGCAAGCCTTCATGATCCCCAATACTGCACTGCCTCAGCCCTAACAAGTTTCAGACGTTTTGTTTCGAAAAATTCATCTTCAGTGTATTCGTTTTAAATTTATCTAAATTTTTTATTTAGATTTCTTTGTTTATTGAATTATCGTACACTGTAAGTGTCGTTAGACCCTGTGAAATCCATTTAGTTATTTAAACTATTACCAACACTACAATAAAACATTTATTATTATGAACTATTACCATCACTTGGTCATACATAAATCAATAAGTTGTTGCGTCAAAATTAAAACATTATTACAATTTTAATTTTATTATGACAAATTGATTCTTAAAAATTCATATGAACAACCAAATCGCCAACTGAATATTATTCTTTAAAAAATTTCAGTAAATGTTTAAAAACATCGTTTTGGCAAAGAAAAACCTGGAAATAACCATGGACACGGGAATAAAACAAATAATGTTTTAATGCGTGGTGGTAATAGTTTAAATAACTAGATGGAGTGCACAGGGTCTAACGACACTTACAGTGTACGGTAATTCAATAAACAAAGAAATCTAAATAAAAAATTTGATAAATTTCCAACAAATACACTGAAGATGAATTTTTCGAGACAAAACGTCTGAATCTGGTTCGGGCTGAGGCAGTACAGTATTGGGGGTCATGAAGGGTCGTATTTAAAAAAAAGAAGTTGAAGATGGTCCTGGAGAGACCAAACCTTACACATAAAAATTGATTCTGCCGTTCGATAGAGGAAAAAAAGTGGCCATGAGAAAGTGTTCTTCTTGTTCACCTCAATTTTCAAAATTTCAGTTTTTTTTCAAATATTTCGAAAACTAATCTTGTTAGACTTGATTTTTTAGAAACATAATGTTGGTCCTCTGATTACGCAACTTTGTCCCCATTTAAGCTAGTTTGTATTTCTTACCGTTTTCGAGATCCCTGTAGTGTGAAGTGAATTTGTAACAGCCTGTATACATTTTGTAATATTCACGGGGTAGGGTAAAAATAAAGCACTAGGGGTGTAGGATTTTCCCTGGCTATCCGATGGTGACCTTGAATTTCGTGCCATTCCAGTACTTCTGGACCACCCCGTACATATACTTTGTGTCAAACTTAACAAATTCCTCCTCAAATGAGTTCGGTCGCGTTGCATAAATTTTCGACTTTAAGTGTCCCCATAGAAAAAAGTAGGGTGTAACATTGGCGATCTTGGAGGCCACTCAATTGAGCCTCTGCGTCTTATCCAATGATTTGGAAATCACGGATAGCTACGCCATAATGTGGTGGAGCACAATCTTGCTGAAACCACACATCCTCTTCTGGCAAAGCGTTGTCATTTTCCAATACTTCCACAATCATCGGGTAGATATTCATTTTCAGTAGATTCATACATGTTTCCATTCAGATTTTACGGTAGGAAGAACGAAGGCTCATGAGGTGGCATTCTATGCCCGTCCGCCCAAACATTCAATTTACTCGGATGCTGCGAATGAGTTTCATGAAAAATGCGTGGAATTTCATCACTCCAGTTGCGGCAATTATGCACTAAAAATATGTGCTGCCTGCCGTGCACAGTCATTATTCTTGTAGAACAAACTATTTATTTCCATTTTTTCCGCAATTGTATAAACCATCTTCACGAATTAGAATCCAATCTACATTACGATGATTTTACCTGATATTATCTCGACAAGACAGGACGAGATAATATTGTATCGTTTAAAATAAAACAGGTAAAAATATTGAACTGATTGA